AGAGTGTAGCAGTACAGAGGCTGGTCTATGAGTGGGCAATTGGAAAAAGCATGCGGGAATTCATCTGTCTTTTTGACCTGCGCTTCAGAGAGCTTAATCTGATTGGAGCCCCACTGAGCCTATTAGAGTTGCTTGGTGAACGGTTCCGGTATCTGAAGGAAGTTTTACCTGATCTTCTGAAATCACCAAGCTCTTTGCTATTCATCTTAGATGGATTAGATGAATTCAAATTCTCCTTGGACTGGAACAGTCCTGGCAAAAACATTGATGTGGACTCGAAGGTGCCAGTGTCAGAGTTGATGGTGGCTTTAATCAAGGGAAGCCTTCTCCCAGAGGCATCAGTCATTCTCACGACAAGACCCTCTACTGAAGCTCCCAAACGGTTCTTCCAGAGGTGCTGTGTGGTGTTGGGCTTTGAAGAGGACCAGGTGAAGGAATATACCACCAAGTTCTATAAAGACAGGGAAGTTGCTAGAAAAGTCTATGACTACATATTGAATAATGACAACCTTTTTGTGCTGTCCTTCATCCCTCTTTATTGCTACATCATTTGCACTGCTATGGCAGAGTTCTTCTCATCAGGGGCTCAAGATGCTGGTGACCAAAAGTCTCTGGAGCTGAACCCTCCCAGAACAGTCAGTGAGGTGTACTTCTGCTACCTGTTTACAGCAGTCAAGCACCATGCACTAAGGGGACGTGCAGAGAGAAGCACCCCTAGATCTGAAGTTCTTTCATTAGCTAAGCAACACCTGACAAACCTGGGTAAATTGGCTTATGAAAACCTTTTACAGAAGAAGATAATGTTCAACAGAGAGGATCTGAAGAACTATGGTGTTACACCTGCTGATATTCAAAGTACCTTTCTTTGCCACATCCTCCAGCCTTTGAAAGAGGAGACAGTGGAGATGTTTTCTTTCTTCCACTTGACTGTTCAAGAACATCTGGCTGCGCTCTACTGTGCAATTAACTTCTTCAGCCAAGAGGACATAATCCAAGCTCTGGACTTCTGGTGCTTTGGGGTACATCCACCATCTTCCACTGCTGCACCTCTGCAAAACACAGATGTCAGCAAAGACAAACTGGAGAGCCTCCAGATGTTCACACGCTTCTTCATGGGAATGCTCAGATCACGGCTGGCAGGTCAGTTGGATGGTCTTGTTGTTTCCCCCATGGAGCAAGGGGATGCCATCCCTGCTGGACTAGGTTTGTGGTTCCAAGACCAGTTTAAGAACAGGAAGCTGGAAAACCAAAAATCCCTGAATCTTCTACACTGTTTGATGGAGTTCCACATGAAAGAAGCCACCAGCATCGCAGCACCAGAGATCAAGAAACTCAACCTGTTTAAAATGAAGCTGAGCGTTGTGGATTGTGCAGCGATGCACTATGTGCTGCAGTTCTCCCCGCACAAGCTGCAGGAGCTCAATTTGGGCTATTCCAACATCGGGAACAAAGGACTACAAAGACTGGGGCCAATCCTACATCGCTGTGAATCTCTCTAGTGAGTAACTGATTTAATATTAAACTAGATAAATACATAAGATCACAGTACAATTTGTATGCTGAACATTGAAAACAAGCCTGCTTTCAAATTTCCTGGCTGTGTTGAGTTTCCATATTTTCCCGTGTCTGCATGCTTGCCTGTCTGAATGTTAGCTGACTGACTTTGGTAGCTTGGGAGTAGCACGCATTCTGTCTAACGCATGCTATGTTTGAAAATAAAAGCCTGACCTCAACAGACTCTTTTGACAAGAACTGAATGGATAACCAATAACAGTGTCTATTCTCTTATAGCTTGAGATACAACTGCCTGGACAGGCAAGCAGCTATTTTGGAATCTGCCATTCTGAAATCAAAGGAGTGTCAAGTGAAGAAGCTCTTGTAAGTCACTGCCAGTGACTTGCGGTCAGGGGAGGCAGGTGAGGCAGAGCCTCCCCTGTCAATCTTGAAAAGAAAAAAAAAGTTAACCATAAAATATAATAAATGTTAATATTTGTCGGCTGGTGTGTGTTGTAGGCCCTTTTGCCGTTCGAATCCGATGTTGAAGGAATTTTTTTCAATAAAGAATAGCAGAATTCCCATATGTCCCGTTCAAATACATGGAGGAGATGCGCGATGAGGCAGCACTTTGCTGTGCCTCTCGGTGGATTGTGTAATCCTCACAAACTGTATGCGATGCAAATAGTGTGTCGCTGTCCCTCTATATATCGCAAATAAAATGCTTTCAAACACTCTGATTATATGCTCTGCCTTGCCATAATCTGGATAATGTATAAAATGTAGTTCTGTAACATGTTTAGGCTGCAGATTAACCATAAAACCCAGTAAAAAAGTTACTCGGTGAGGCAAACAGTACGCCTGCCTCAAGGCAGAGGGCGCAAAAAAAACATTTTTGTCCAGAAGGATCTTCTTTATTGAAAACATTTGTTTTAATATTGGATTCGAACGGTAAAAGGGTTTGTAATACATACTAGCTGACAAATGGATTTCGTGTACAAGTAAAGGTAAGACCATAAACTTTTATTATTTCTAGTTAGAAATAAGCTCAATTGGAATAAATTTTAACCTCAAATTAAATATGGGTCACGTTTGTGTGAAGAATGCTGATATGAGATATAAAACATAACGCATTGTCTGTCAAGGGTTCATTTGTATTTGTAAATCTGACTCTAAAAGAGTAAGTGCCTCACCAGCTGTCAACCTCACCGCACGTCACTGGTCACTGCAGAAGCTAATAGTTTGTTATGGAAAATAATTGTTATTATCAAAGCATATTACAGTGACAGCTGTTGATCAAAGCCAGTTTCACTTTGTTTCCTTGTTGAACCCTCCCGCACTTGCACACCAAGGACCCCTGCAGTGTTTACCAAATAAATTTAAGACTTTTAAAGAACCTTTTAATACCACACCCAATGCAATCTAATGTCTTTTTTACACAATTATATTTGTTGAAGAATAATGGAAAATCCAAATTTTTGGTTGGATCAAAAAAGTGGCAGATCCAAAAAAGTGGAGGAAAATGAATGAATGAATGTATGTTTTTGACAGTTTCCCGTTAAGAGGCAATGAGCTTCTTGAATAGTCTACTGTAGCTAAAAGTACAGTAAGTTTGCTGAGGGTCTGTTGGCACTGACAGAAATGCCACAAAAAAGAATTACACAGTGCACAATCCATGTGGTCACACTTGTAGTTTATAGGTGTACAATGTTTCCAGATAGCCCAGGCACAAATGAATTTAAAATTATACCTAATACTACTGTCACAACAGATTAAAATCAAGACCTCTTGATACCTTCCAAGGCCTTAATTTCTTTGAGGGAAATGAAGTCAGTGTCTGAGACTTTAAGATCTGCAGATATCCTGACCCCTCTGCCTCCAAGCCCTTGATGTGAGTTATTACACACTATACTTTTTGTATTTTACTGCAATGCAGTTCTTCTACTCCTGTATACAGCATGTGTGGCAATAACCTGGGTCCAGAAGGTGTTCTGGAGATGTGGAATGCTCTGGAGTACAACACCACTGTGGAGGAACTCTATCTGGACATCACTGGTATCACAGAAAGAGGGACAGAAAACATTGTCAACTGCCTAAGCAAAAACACCTCCCTAAAAACACTGACGTAAGATTAAAACATCTGCTCAGTGTTCTCTGTATTAAAGTATGAAGGCACTGCCATCTAGTGTGAGATCATGACTTAATGCAATAAAAAATAACTCTGACCTCATTATTTTCTTCTTTGTCAGCATTGTTGGGAATGACATCGGCGAGGTAGGGAAGAAGAGGCTGAGGGAGCTGGAGCAGCGTCGACCAGAGCTCCAGATTATTGCAAACTTTGTGGACGACCTTGGTTTACTTCAGGCTTATCTGGGCTGGGTGGATGAGATCCAGGTTGACAGAGACCAGATGGACTCAGTGAAGAATGTTGATGCCCTGCAGTCAGTGCTGAAGGGGCTCCAGGTGGCAGGAGAACAGGTGGAGAAAGGAGATAATGCAGAAAAAGCCAAGGAGCTCGAGACAAAGATTGTGGAGCTGCTGAAGTCTTCTACAGATCTGACTGGAGGAAGATGACAACAAGTTATATAGTGTATTGTGTGAGAGGGCAGGGCTCCATCTGAAGTGGTGGATGCTTTTATCTCATCCACAATGAATCAGCAAATATTTTGAATTCAAACAGTAAAAGAGTGATTCATATTAACCTTCTTGTTAACAGCTCAAGAACACACTTAGAATAGTTTGCTCACCTAATGCTAGTAACTTTTCTTAGACACGAAGGATTTTTTTCATTAATATGAAAAGTGTTCATGTCTGTGATTAACAGTACTTTTTATGTACTACTGCCTTTCCAAATCTCATATTTGGGGTGGAATCGGCCCCCAAACCCGACTTACCAAAATACTTATGCTATTCTGCATACTTTATTGTCTATGACTTTTGACAAATAAATGTAATTTGTTCATGTAAAGTTCGTCCATCCATTGTCTACGCCACTTATCCTACAAAAGGGTCACGGGCAGCTGGAGTCAGTCCCAGCTGTCACTGGGCGAGAGGTGGGGTACACCCTGGACAGGCTGCCAGTCTATCACAGTCTATCACAAATTACCTATGAGTAATTTAGAGTTGCCACTCAACCTAACCTGCACGTCTCTGACCTGTCAGAGGAAACCAGACCACCTGCAAAGAACCCACGCAGGCACCATGTGAAATGTGCAAGCCTAGTTTGTAGTAAATGGATGGGCTAAAACAAAATTTTTGGATTTAAGGTAATAAAAAAATCGATATTATAAGGAAATAGAGTAATTTTGTAATTATTAGCTTGTTTAAAATATATACTCCCTACAAAGAAATGAAAAAGCCAATGCAAAAAATATGTAAATTGAGTCACCCAGCCTGTTTTGTGACACAAAACTTTACATAAGACAGAGTTCCTGCTGTACCTCGTGGTAGGTTTTTATTCTCCATTCAATGCAGTACAGTTTCACTCAGAAAAATAATATATTTTACTTACTGCATATTTGTGTTGTATATTTGTGTATGTGATGTACTATTTGTGCACAACCCCAGATAGCACCATCCTGTGCGAGCCTGTCAAAATTTCTAAACACATTTCTGCCACTACATGTAAAACCTTCTATTTTTAATGCAGGGTGAAGGTTGAACCCTTGAGTAAATGCACAACCATGGCCTAATGAAATCCTGATCTAATTATTGTGTTTAGACTATGCTCCATCAGAGTTACTGTATGAGGAAGTCCTTTATTAACATATCAAAGATAAATGTCAACAGAGCTTCAGTTTTGCATGCCAGTTAATATTAACCAGTGTCTGCTTGTTGTTCAGTGCAGAATGGTTAGGGCAGTCTATCACAAGGCTTCAGTATGACTCACTGTTTCCGGCTTTTATCAGTTTATATCAATTCATCTTTGACTCTGCAACTTATAAACTGGCTGACTTTACTTAACAGCACAGTAAGACAAAGAGCACGGAGCTTTAGTTGCTGTTTTTACAACAATACTTTTTAAATCTTCTGCTGCTGGGTAAGTAAATATGATTACCTTATCAAACCTTTTCTGCCATTGAAATTCCACATCTGGTGTTTCAGAGCTAACTATGATTTGTAGTTAAGCTTCTTTCATTCCCATATAAAAAAGAAAGCAATGTCCAAAAAGATGCTGATTTGAATTCTACACAGTCAAATGTCTTTGAAAAGATGCATTTATAGTATATTCACAAACAACAGCTCAACTTCAAGGAGTCTTGGGAGAGGTTTGACTCTTCTGGCCAATTTTGGTTTTGATTTTACCTTTATATACCACATGAAAATATGTTTAACATGCCAGTGTTTGGTATAATTTTCTTCAGCACAACCTCATTTTTTGACCTGACAATTATTTCTACACTTTGACATACAACATCAACATGCATGATCAGTGACTCCTGATATGCAGGTAATCATAAAATATGCTGATGTAAATAAACCTGGAGTTGTTTGCTGATAGACTAACTATTAGCAACAGTAATAGCTATCAAGTATTAATCCTTCAATGTTTATCAATTTAAAATTGGTAAATAGTTCCAAATGTATTTTTGGTGGTGGGGCTGTCTTAATACAAAATCGTTTTTCAAAAACATTTTTTATTTCCTTAAAATCTTCATGCTTCATGTATACCGACTTGCTTCATATATCAAGTCAATTTATTTCTCTCACTGGTACAAAATTAAGTTTAACAAGTTGGCTACCCCTTGTCTGTTTTACTACATACATTTTGATGGTGTTTGTTCACTTCCTTTGGTTTAGGGTCTAATGGAGTCAACAGTAAGCAGAGAAGCCATTCTGTCAGTTTACATCATTTCCTTCCTGATAGGCCTGCCAGCGAACCTCCTGGCTCTCTGCTCCTTTAGCATGAGGATCCATTCCAAGCCACGGCCAGTAGACATCCTGCTCCTCAATCTGACTGTGTCTGACCTGCTCTTCTTGATCATCCTTCCTCTCAAGATGCATGAAGCAGCATCGGACATGCAGTGGACTCTGCCCTACTTCTTATGCTCCATCACCTCTTTTACCTTCTTCAGCACCATCTACACCAGCACCCTACTTCTGACAGCAGTCAGTGTGGTTCGCTACATTGGAGTAGCTTTCCCAATCGCCTATCAACAGCTGCGCAAACCTGTGTATGCAATAGTGATCTCTGCTGGTATCTGGCTAATGTCATCAGCACAATGCAGCATCACTATTATCATCCAGCACTACCCATCCCTGTCCAGTCAAAACTCAAGTTATTGCTATGAGAACTTCACAGACAAGCAGTTGGAGGTCCTCCTCCCAGTACGTTTCCAAATGTTCTTTGTGCTCTGTCTTGCACCTCTTCTAATTTGTGTTTACTGCTACTTGTGCTGCATCTGGATCCTGTACAATCGCCCCAGGATATCCTGTATGCTGAAGCAGAAGGCCATTGGCATGGCCTTAGGGACACTAGCTGTGTTTCTCATTTGTGTGGTGCCATACAACCTCTCTCATGTAGTGGGCTACTTCCAGGGTAAAAGCCCATCCTGGAGGTACTACGTCTTGCTGCTCAGCACCTTCAACACCTGTCTTGATCCCATCATCTTCTACTTTTCCTCCTCCACCTTCCGCTGCACTGGAGAAAAGTCCATTTTCAGGAAGTTTAGAGTCAAAGATACAGAAATACAACAACAGGTCACCAGCTCTAGCTAAGAGAAAGACACATTTTCAGTACTACTGTATATGTACATATCCAGCCTCAATATTATTATTCTGCTGTATATTACAGACATTATATTTGAGTGCATAATGCTATTCAGTTTGCTTTAATAGCTATAATTTGACCCATGACCACATTTGCAGGTTTTTTAAAAATATTTATAAAGCATTATAAAATATCTTAAGTGTCAAATCCTTCTCAAAGTTACCACCAAACACACAAACCAGTAAGTCAACAAACCTTTAGTTGTTGTGGTTTTTTGGACCATTTTATGACAAGGCCTTAAGAGACATTTTATATACTGTATATATGCAAAATTCTGGATTTATTTTATATGATGTTCACTATTTTTGAGTGTGAATTATTATCCATTGGAAGACATTTTGTTTTATTTTTCTGGCTATTATAAAGTTTAGTGATGTGTGAGTTTGAAAGTATGTAGTGGGGATTTTCCTGAGTGCAAAGCTGACGAGACAGCGCTGACTTATAACAGTCATTAAATGTTATTGTAGTGTATTTAATGTTTTTTTAAATGCACATACAGAACTATTGAAAGAATATGTTATATTTTTCTCAGTGTGTGATATAATATTCATATAAGAATTCAAACATTATTTTTTGTTTACTATCAGCATAATACAATAATTACACTAAACTCTGATATATATTCCTTAATATGAACAAAGCTGCAAAGAAGGTCATGACCAGTGCCACCTAGGCTAGTATGCAGGACCAAGAGAAGCGCCAGTCACCAAAACATTTACCCAGAGAGTTCATCATCATCCTGGTGTAAATGGCCAATGCAAGCAGAACAAAGAGAGCTGGCACTGTGGGCATAGAGTGACACATTATCAAATTGATCTGTATAATGAAAGAAGTCATTTCAGTTTAAGCTTATCTGGTGTGTCTACAGAATTTCTATGACAGACTGAGTAAACAAGAATTTCTTAAAGGAAAGTAAACTAAATTGTCAGAGATTTATATGCTATGTAAATACACTATTTAATGTATCATTCATGGTGAATGTGAAGTTTAGAAAACTAAGTCAATAACATTATTTAGTTACTGTAACCGTGACTCACTTGAAACAACAAAAATGATCCCAGCAGCTAATGAGTGGTTGATCTTCCCAAAAGCAGTGAAGCTGGCAAAGAAAAGGATTCCTGTGATGATGCCAGCAAAGCACGATATAGCATCATAAAAGCATGAGTGGCAATCCAGTAGGCTGAGGAGTAAAACAAGAGAAAGAGAAAACACTGTACAGATATGTGCAGCAAGATAAATAGAAAATTATAAACATGATATGAGCATATTTCCAAAATGCACTCAGTGTCGTCTGAAAACTGTTGGAAATTAACCTATTTTCCAGTATTTCTATCTGCCCCTCAATTATGAACCCAGACATTTTATTCTTCATAACGTCTCCTTGAACGTGTAGATTGTTCCAGTACACTGCTATACTTACATAACATATCCCTTAATGTTATTTTCTAGGATTATTCAAAACAGTTTCTTTAAAGAATTTCTTGAAGTTCTTGTGTTGAGATCAATCAGCAGGTTTTCCTGCTCAGCTTTACCATAACATTTGATCACACTGCCACCTACTGTCAACTTGTCTTATCACCACAACTTTGATGTGATTATTTTTTCTTTATCAACCTTATTGAACATGACAGAGGCAGGGAGTTGGTCTAAAGTCAACCAGCATTGTGGATTGCTGCAAATTCTGATGATAACCCTGGATTACTGAAGGCTAAAGTGGACGAGGTGGTTAAAAAGGCTTTTTCTGTTATTAGCTGTCTCTGTTGTGAGTGAAATCAAACACCTTTTCTCAACAGTCATGCATGTTAGATGCCAATTTTTCAATCTGGTTTGTAATAATAGATTAAAGAATCTAAGAATTATTTTAATTTTTGATTCACTGATAAAGTGTCAGAAAATGTAAAAATAATGAAAAATGTTTCACTGCATGTTTGGGTTTAATATTATACAAGATAGTTTTATCTCCTGCATCGCTCACAATGGAGTTGGGCAGTCCAATTGGCAGGATCTGGATGTTTAATATAACAAAATCTTTCTGATATAAACTTAGTTTATTCAGGAATACCGTGCTACACAGTCACACCAGAGACTTACTCAATGTAATAATTTCCTGTCATGATTCGGTTCCGTTTGCTTCCTGTCGTGCTTTTATTTTGACGTTACTTCCTGTTTTTGTTTCACCACAGTCTTTTTACTTTAATCATCACTCACATTAGTTTCACCTGCTCCTGATTGTTTACACCTGTTTCTCGCTCCATTATAAGCAGCCTCCCCCCCCACCAGTAACCTGCCAGATTGTTCTAGACTCCAGGGGCCTGTTGCACAAAAGTAGAATTAAGACATCCAGGATAAATGACTGAGCTGAGCTCAATGAATCCAAAACACGTGCGTCGAGGCTTAATTGGTTGCACAAAAACCAAGCCAGGATGAGCAGACACGGATTCATCAAGCCAGGTGTAACCAATCCTGGATATGTGCGCGTTCACGGCTCACTCAAATAGACCCCGCCACCGATCACAGATTCACTGATTCACCATGGCAAATAGAGCGGCGTACTTTTCCCCGTCGGAGGCACAAATCCTCATGGAGGCATACGAGGAGGTCAAAGAAATAATTAAGAAGAAAGGCAACACCGCCA